GATGTTACCTAGCCAGGTAATGAAATGTTTGCAAGAAAAGAACCAAGCTCAGAGAACCCCAAGGACTCCAAACTAGCAACAGTATTATATACATCTCAGATATTTGGTCCCAGCAGTTTTTCCTATGATTTTGGAGACCTCTAAGTAGATCTACATATACTTTACTCACAAAACGTATGACACATACTCCAGCCATCCTACTAATGCTCTTTATTTTTTTCCCTCTGAGTGCTTTTATCCTGACTGCTTTGATCTTTGGGGAAATCATGGCATTTGTGTATTTTAAGGGTGTCATGTTAGCAGTTGAAGAAGCATGCTAGTTATGTAAGCAAGAAAGTTCAGTCTGATAAATTTTCTACAGGCACTATAAACAGATTAAGAGATTGTGCTGTAGAATAGATTGGGTTCTTCAATATAATTGGATTGTAAAACTGACTCGAAAACTGATGACCTGGCAAAGGCACAGTAAGAAAAACTTTTCTTCCCCAAAATTTTCTTTTAACTATAGCAGTCGCACAGGAATGAAGTATCAAAAACTTGCAGGTAGAAAACTTGAATTTAAAAATATTGCAACTGATCTTGCAATTGCTGCTGTTTGCCATCAGAAACCCACAGCCTTTGTAACTTGTTCTACTTCCTCTGCAGTTAAGTGATGCTTGATACTTCCACTCAGCCACCCAGCTCATCTTCTTACCCTGGGCTGCAGTCTCACACTGTCATGTGCATATCCTCATTGCTGCTTGGTACAGTTCTGCTGGATGAGAAAGAAAGAAGAATGAAAGACTCAGTGTGTAAAAAAATTGACACTCCAGCCAGCACCCCATTCCCATTCCCATTTCCTCAGTGCAGTTGCTTTCACATACATGTATACATACATATGTTCTTAGCTATACCTATCACACAATTCTCTTTCAGGGTAAGCAATATTATGCAAAGTACAGAAAGTAAAAGTAAGCAAAAGAAAGGCAAGAAATATGAGGAAAGGAGAGTAAATATAACTAAATATAGTTTATGCCAATTCAATTCACTATACCTCTGCATACTTTTCTAGCTTTGTAAACTGGTCTTGCTTCCACCACATCCATATGCCAATTCATACATTGCCTTTTGTTCTTCAAATATCTCATCTCATCAGCTCCATCTAACCACCACTTTCTCAGTCTTTCTCTTTCTCTCAACCAATTCACTGATAGAAGGGAAATCCCAGGAACCACAAAGCAGGAGATGAAGTGAGAGGTCTTACCAATCTGAAACCACACTGCCTCAAATATCCAAAGGAAACATTTCAAAACTATATTGACATCATTTCCTCTGAACCCTCAGCCAAGCTTCTAATGAATACTCTGCAAATGTTGTTTTAAACAAGCAAGCCAGAGATACAATTATTATTTTCTCTGATGGATTGTATGTTCTCATTTTCTGAGCATGCTTTGCCTACAGCAATACTGAAGACCAAATATGATCAGTAATGTGTAATCTACTCTCATTTCTCTAATCTCTAGGCTTGAAGGATTTATTTATTTATTTATTTATTTAATTTGTACACTGACTCCCAACAACTCTGGGTAGTTTGCAAGTAAAAATACAGGAAAAAAAATACATAAAAAGGACCAAAAGATGGCCAAAAAAACCCAACCCAGCATCACTCACTCCTCAAAAGGGGTTTCACCCATCCTAGCCAAATACCTGGGCAAAGAGCAGACCTTCAAGATCCTCCAAAACACCAGCAGGGTGAGGCCACCCAGATCTCTGGGGGAACCGCATACCAGAGGGAAGGTGCTGTAACAGAGAAGGCATGTTTCTGGGGTCCCAATAGCTGCCATTGTTTAATCAAAGGAAACCGGAGTGTACCAGAGGTAATCTCAGAGGGTCTGAGAGTTCTGCCCTCTTACAGCATCCAGTTCAGGAAGACAAGCAGGAAGAATCCACTCTCTTCCTTATATAAGCATGGGATTGCTCTTCAGTGAACAAATTCATATCCTGCCTTTCTCACTTAGAAAGGAAGGCCAGATACTGTTGATGCTGAGCTAGTCTTGCAAGAGCCTACGCCTATTGGATTAGCTTCTGCTCTATTTTGACAATGCCTTGTCTTGCTTTCTTAATAGGAAAGAATGAGGTTTGTTGAAATGTAACTATTGCTGAAGCTTTACTCATGTGACATCTTTCTACCTCAAAAGGGAAAGATAAGTGGAAAGATGTGGATAGCAAAAAGTGGGGAGGAGGGATTTATAGGAAGAGCCAATTTTGGATTAGGCCAATGGTGTCAGGTTTAGCCCAAGGAACTCCAAGAGACAATGCAAAATCAGTTCAGCTATGTATATTAGCTACAACCTCTAGCAAGAATCTTCCCAGACTGACCCCCCACCTCCCAAGCCACCCAGCCACAACACTGTGAATTCCTCAGGGAGGTGCCAGCCTCATCCTCTTGTAGTTCCCACGCTCTTTTGGTGAACTAAGAAAACGCTTATCTCCCTGACCATGGCCTTCATAATTCCATTCCATCACAAATGGGCTGACTATTAGAAAAACCTGGTCAATGTAGTTGAAGCTGATAATAAAAACTACTATTTCTTCTAGAATCCTTTGCCTTCTAAAATTCAAATCTCCTGAGGACTATGGAATATCAAAAGTAGCATTCAGAAAAATACCTGACCTTAAATTATGAGCCTATTCGTTAGCTATGAGCAGATTTGCATTCTTGAATACAATGGAACCTCGAGTTACGAATTTAATCCGTTCCGTGACTCTGGTTGCAACTCGAAT